GCTGAACGCTCCTTGTGCAACTTATTATATCAATATAAATATATTGCATATACTAGAATATGATTAAAACAACATTATTGTAAATAATTAATGAAAATCTAAGAATAGTTGCTCAAGGTACGTAACAGACGCGTTGGCTTTTGAGAAGGACAGAAGCAACCTTGTCCACCGAAGGGTGGTAGCCATCTCGAGTCTCCGGATTGTCGGCCACTAGGACCCATATTAATACCATAGGGTGCAGGTCTTCCTCCAGAGTTGAAATTATTCCGTACTGGTCCACCGCCATAGCCCTGTTGGTAACCTCCTCCGAAGTTATCGTTACTCCAATTTCCACCGCTATTATATCCACCTTGACCTCCTTGACCTCCCCAGCCACCTCCTTTAAGATAAATTTATTATAAAACTTGCAAAGAGTTTTTAGTAATTACTATAATACATTATTAATTAATATATTAATGTAATACTTAGTAAAATGGGAAAAGTATATCTTTCTGCGAACCTTTACCTTGATTCTGATTTTCCCAAGGACCGTTACCGCCCCAACCTCCTTGATTACCTCCACCATAACCACCCTGATTACCACCATTATTCCAATCTCCACCGCCACCACTTCCTCGTCCTCCCCAATTACCGCCACCCTGATTACCACCACGGGGTCCCCTTCCTACATTCTGTCCTCCTCTGCTACCACCACCTCCACTACCACCACCACCTCCTGATGCAGAAGCCATCTCTGCTTTACTTAAAGCCTACAATGTAGAAATGTGATAAAATCTAAAAAATTTAGAATTCTATATAAAAAAAAATAATACTAATAAGAGTACTTTTACCTTTTTAACATCTACATGCTTGCCACGTATTTGGTGATTACGTTGCAAACAAATTTTATCTACTGGATCATAATCATCAAATTCAACAAAACCAAAACCACGCTTTTTGCCTGTTTCTTTATCTGTTACAATGCTGATCGAATTTATAGTGCCATAACTCTGAAAATATTGTTTAAGATCGTCTTCTTCATGGTCATCTTTTAAACCACCTACAAATAATTTCTTCACTGTTGCACCAGCTTCGGGTCTACCAATTTCTTGTCTAGGAACAGCTCTCTTAGGTTCAACTACACGTCCATCTACTTTGTGTGGTCTATAAATCCAAATAATGAAATATTTATATAAATAATTATTAATAAATTATTAACTTCTGTACTTTCATATATATATATTAAATATTTATATTTCATAATATATTTATTATATTTATTATTATTATTATTTAACACACACACACACACACTCTCTAATAATTTTAATATTTAGAATATAAATATAGCAAATGTTGAATAATTAATAAAATATAAATTATTAGAAATATAATAAATATTTTTTATTAATTTTTAAAACTATTAATTTTTTTATATTTTTTTATAAAATTCAAGAATATATATATATATGTTTATAATATATATATTATAAACATAATTTTTGTATTAGTGAATTTTTAAAATAAATATTATAAAAAAACATAAAAAAATCAATAATTTAGTCCCAATTAATTCTTGTATGATAAGAAATATATATATATATATATAATATAATATATATTATATATAATAAATAAATAATATATATATAACATATATAAATAATACATATATATAATTAAATATGTAATATAATATATTTATATATATGTATTATATACCTTGCATTTTGAGCATCATCTACCATATGTGCACGTGAATAAGTAATAAATCCAAATCCTCTAGATCGCTTTGTTTTTGGATCTTTCATTACGACTACATCAACAATTTCTCCCCATTTTTCAAAATGTTTCTTTAAAGAATCATCTGTAGTTCTATAATCCAAACCACCAATAAATAATTTTCTAACATGTTCTGGTTCATTTTTACCATCCTGAAATATCAAATTATTATTATTATTAAAATTATTATTATTAAAATTAAAGAATTAAATGAAAATTTCAATTGTTTGTTAATCATTTTTACCAATCATTATTTTAATTATTAATAATCATTAATAAATTATCACATTTATTCATAAAAAATTACTTCAAAATTTTGTTTTTTGTTTTTAAAAATATTACAATATAAAGAATGATATAAATATTTTTGAAAATTATTGAAAATCACTTTAATTTTAAAATATAAGTATTATATAAAATTTTGTTCCTATAAAAAATTTTAATAAAACGTATAAAAGTATTTTATATATAAATAAGTTATAAGATAATTATAAAATAAGTTATTTATATTTAAAATAATCTTTACATTTTTTTTTATTTATATCATATACCGTAAAACCTATATTAAATATTAAAAATCATTTGTATTTTATTAAAAAAATAAAGTTATATTTGAAATTCATATGGATTTCAAAAAATTTAATTTCAATAAATTAAATATTAAATAATTATATCAAATGTATATAACTTTACTATATAACTTTATTACATATTAGTTATTACATTCTAAGTTCAACATTCTAAAATAGTTGAATTCGATTTTCTTAATTTCATAATATTTTCTTTTTATGAAATATTGTATATATTATTAATGATTAATTATTATTAGATATAATTATTTTTCTAAATGATTATGTATATAAATCTTCTAAATAACTAAATTATAAATAATGAACAAACTATAAAACAAATAAAAATTATATAACAATTTTTTATTATATATAATAATATATAATAAATTAAATTAATATATAATAAATTAAAAAATATTTTAATATAATAACATAATTAAAAATATAAAAATATAAGATTGAAGAATTCAAATTAAAATATCTTAAATGGCGTAGCGTCGGGGTACGCCATGATGAAAGAAAACTATAAAAATGTACATCTGTACATTATCTATTTAAAATTAATAAAACCACATATATTTATTTAAATTCAAAGTACTCTTGATATTTATTTTATTTTTTTATATTATTATTATTCACACAATTTATTTATTTATAATAAATCATAAAATCTCTATAAATAAAAAGACATAATAAATTATATACATATAAAATACTAAGTAAAAAGATTTTCAAAAGATTTTAAATGATAATTAATTATTAAATATTTCATAATATTAATATAAATAGGACAAAGTAAAAATTAATTGAGATTAGATATATTTCTATTTTTATATATATTATTTTCATGTATAACAAAATATATTTAAATTATTGATCAAATTATAGATTCTGTACTTACATCATGCTCCATTTTAACCATTTTGGATTATTTTAAAGGGTCAAATACCCTTCACTACAGAATATACAAAGAATCTCACTAAACTAGTATTCAAGAAATGGAGATCGCGCACGTCGGTCAATCGATACTGTTCCTTCCAAATACCTATGTGAACCCCAAATGCGTAACTACCACATAAATATTTCAGACATGCGCAGCTTTTATATTACTTATTAATTTATTATCTTTTTAAGAATTTTTCAGAATGTTAGCATTAGATATTATCCAAAAAAATTTTATATATTATTTAATATATTTTTTAATATATTTTAATTATTTATAAAGAATAAAATTTAAGTATTATTATTATTCAATATATTCTTCTATATAAACAATAAATATTTTATATTAATAAATTGATTGTTTAATATCATATTTATATATTATCTACATTTATATATATAAATAATACATGTATAGTTATACAATGCATCTATTTCTATAAATATAATGAAATAAATATTGTATTTATACAGCGCCGGAAATGTCAATCGTCATTAAAATAAACTATCTATGTATACATATGAAATGCAGTTATAAGATATAAAACATTTTCATATTTTATTACAAATGAAATTAGTTTATGTGTATCATGTACAATATAATTTTTTCTTAAGACTTCTATTTTAAAAATATACTATATTGCGAATTATAAATAATATTAAATGCAAATATTACAAAAATATATATAAAAAAAATCAAGTAATTTTTTATTTACAATGATAATGATAAATAGAAAAAAAATTAATATAATTAATATTATTATATATATTAATATATATTGAATGTTCTTTTTTAAAATTTCATCATAAATTTTAAGATTATAATATTTACACTAATGTATGTATATATTTAAATATTCAACTATCATAATATTGCATTAATAAAACTGAAATTCATTATTGCATTCTTATTGTCGTAATCTCATACATCAATGAATCCGTTAAAACAAATAGTATTCTATTAGAAATAAAAATATATATGCCATATATTTAAAAAAAAAATTGTTTTATATAATAGTTTTATATATATTCAGAATTTTTTCTGTATCCTGAAAATAAGAGATTCAACGTAATTAATGATATTGTATATATTATATATTATATAATGCAATATTTAAAATACAATCTAATATTTTTTATAAAATAAAATCATTTTTTATTTCATAAAATTTTAATCTACTAATAAAAAATAATTGTGCAGATTTCATTATAATTTTGAAATTAAAAATGAATAAAAGAATAAGAATTTATTTTCTCTTATGTATATATATACATTATAAATATATATATTTATATATATATATATATATACATTATAAATATTGTGTGCACATTTATTTTTGATTTATTATTTTTATGTCATTTATTGTAAAATATAATATTTATATATAAATAATAATAAAATTAGTTAAATAAATAAAAAAATAAGCATAGATACAAGATATAAAATACAAAAATTTATTTTTAATCTTTTAAATGATACCGGAAATTACATTAATTATTACATCAAGAAAGTAATGTAATATTTTGTATAAAAATATGATTTTGTGAAAACCTGTAAAAATTTGTTGTATTTTTAATGAAAGACAATATTGATATTTAGAAATTCTAATTATAATTAAAATTAGAATTGAAAAAATAATTGAAAAATTATTAGAAAATTCAAAGAATTATCGATATCTTTTTTTTCAAATTATTGTTCTTCATATTATAAAAGTTTTTTGCTCATTTTACTCTAAATAAATAATTTTAATTAAACTTTTAAATATAATATTGTTTTGTTTATAGAATATCATAAATTAGATAGAATTTGTATGAGATATTTGATTTGTGAGGGTAGGATATGATTTATCTGTACAATTTAAACAATTTCTAAGAAAATAATTGTGATTTGATATATTTTGTGGATATAACTTTTCTTCAATACGTTTATTTATTACAACTGCTTCAGCAAGAGGTATTGGTTCTGTATATGTAAATGTCTTTTTTTTGATATCAGACTTATCATCTAGCTTTTTAATATTAATTGGTCCATTAATAACAGAAACAGCATTACTGACTTCATTAGTAGTTCTTATAACAGGTGTAATGTTACCCATTGAATCTAATCTAGAACTGATTTGGTCACAAGAACTTATACACACCACTGATACCTTAGTTGGTGTTTTTGTTAATAGATTAGAAGCCATTTTTTGTGTCTTTTTTATCTTTTGCTTTTGTTTTAAATTTATTTGTTTAGCTTTTGTTAATTTTGTATTTGTTTCAGGATTTGCATTTTGTTCATTATTAATATTAAAAGATAAACTCTCTGGATGATGATGTCTAATGTGTCGATGTAAATTATCTTTTCTTCTAAATACAGTTTCACAATATTTACAAGAAAATGGTTTTTCATCTAAAATGAATTGTTTGTATCATATTAGATTTATAATTCATTATTTAATAATATAATACATAATATAACATTATATAATACATATATATATATACACATATATATAATTAATACATATATATAACATTACATACCTGAATGGACTGTTAAATGACGTCTTAATTCACTTTTAGATAAAAATACTCTATTACAATGTGCACATGAAAATGGCCTATCTTTTCCATGCGTTTTTTTATGACGAATTACCAAAGATTTATCTTTAAAGCTTTTATTACATTGATCACATACATATGGTCTTTCATCTATTAATAAAGAAAATATTAAAATAATAATTTTAAAATATATTAGTAGTTCTTACAATATCTTATCAAATCTTTTGCAATAAATTTAAAATAATTTAAAAATTTTTATTGAATATTTTTTATATTTTATTTATAATTTAATGATATTTTATTATCAAGATATATTTACATTTACAAATAATATATATTTATATTAACAAATAATTTCAAAATATTTCTATTAATTAAAAATTTCTTTAATTAAAAATAAATTTCTTATTATTAATTAGAAATTAAATTTCTATTAAAATATTTATTATTTTTTTTTATAAATAATATATATTTATATTAACAAATAATTTCAAAATATTTCTATTAATTAAAAATTTCTTTAATTAAAAATAAATTTCTTATTATTAATTAAAAATTAAATTTCTATTAAAATGTTTACTACTTTTTTTTTATATAATTACTTACTATTATGTGTTTTTAGATGACGTTTTAAATTAGTTAACATTCTAAAAGTTTTTTCACAAGTTTTACAAGAATATGTAGTTGTTCCATTATGTACATGTAAATGATTTTTCAAATCATCTTGTTTGGAATATCTTTTATCACATTTAGAACACATAAATTGTTTATCTCCTAAAATTAAGTTTAATTAAATTAATAGTTAATATATTATATTATATTATTATATAAAAATCTAAGTAAATATTGTTTTTTATAAATGAATTAAATCTATGCTTATTATTATAAAATGTTACTACCATGAGAGTACATATGTCTATTAAGTTTATTCTGTTGTGGAAATGCTTTCTCACAAAGATTACACTTATATGGTCTATATCCTTTGTGAATTCTTTCATGATATTCAAAATGTGATCTTTTTATGAAACTTCTGTCACAAAAAGAACATTGATAAGGTTTAACACCTGTTATACAAGCATCATGATAACATTTTCCTTTCTTGTTTTGAAAAATTTTAGTGCATATATTGCATTTATATTTTTCTGGTATTCCTGGTATTATAGTAATATGATCACGATCAGTACATTTTATAGATTTATTTTTTAATTTTTCTTTTGTGGAAAATTTTGTCTTGATTTCCTAAAAAAAATGCTAATATAGAATAATGACTTAGACATATATAAATTATAAAACTTACCACATTGCAAATTTCTGTTACTTTATTATTAGATGATGATTTTACTACTACATTATTACTTAAATGTGGATATACATTTAAAAGTGCATTATTAGTTTCTCTACTTGAAATATGTAAATTATTTAATGTATCATTGTTTTTAATATCTGTAGAAGATTTATTTATTTCTTTTGTTTTGTTAATTATATTTTCTCGATATAATTCATAATTATTTATATAATCAGTAGAAATTGGTTCAAAATTATTTGCTTTAAGTTTGGAATCTTTATTAATAACTAATTCCAAAGGTAATATTTCATTACATATATTACTTTTATCAGAAGTAGAAACGTTATTTAATATTTTTTTTTCTGCAAAACAATATATAATAAAAAAATAAATTAATGAAGTAAAAATTACAATAATTATTATTATTAAATATATTCAACTATAAAAATGTTCTACCATAATTTTCAATACTATGTTCATTGATACATATTTTGCAACCTTGTTCTTCATATATTAAACACATACGACATTTAATATGACCACAACTATCTTTTACAAGTCTTGAACGCGATGTATTTATTATTTGTCTACAACTTGGACATACTTTGTTCATCATAAGTATTTTTATTTCCCGAAATAATACTAAATAAATTATTTATTTACGAGTAAATTTAGTTTCATTAATTAAATTAATTTTAAAAGAAAATACATATTTTCCTTCATATGAATTTATTTCCTTTCTATCGCCTTTTTAAAAATTTGTACTACATAGATACTTACATATGTGTACTGATGTTTGATTCATGTTGTGCATATATGTACAAATTTATATTCTATTCGTTTTAATAATATAGTTAAAAAATTGTAATAAATATATAAAAAAATGTATTTTTATATATACATATAAGTATTTCTATATACTTTTATATTTTAAGATTAGGTTAAGTTAATAGATACGATTTATAAATTAATATGTCTATAATTAATGATATTAAAATAAATCATTTTTTACTAATTTAATTTAAAAGTTTTTTTTTATTTAATATAAATGATATTACTTATAATTATTTATAATTTCACTTTATTATAATAAAATTTATAAATACTATATATATATATATGTATATATAATATATATAGCATATACATTATATAGCATATATAGCATATTATATAGCATAATATATGTATATTTACATCACAAAACATATTATTTAACAAAACAATTATATTTATAATCATATATATCATATATATCAAAAATATTATTATCAATTTTAATAAATTTTTATAAATAGATATTTATAGATAGAATTAAAAAAAATTTAATAATTTCATTTTCAAATACATATCTTCGATTTACTTTTTTGGAATTTAATATTTTATTACATAAAAATATTAGATTAAATAAATAATAAAAAATATTATAATAATAAATTCATTTTAATGCATATAAAATAAAAAAAATTATTTTATAATAATATAGTTTGTAAAAAATAATAATTAATATAATTTATTATTTTGGAATAAATTTTATTTAGGTTTAATGTTAATGTTAATAAGAAACAATTTATATTATATATAATAATACAAATATTAATGTTACTTTGGAAATGTAAATACTTAACCTCTCTTTTAAAAGAGAACTAACTTTTAAAAGTGAAATCTGTTTGATGTTTTTTAAGTATAAACATTTTTAAATCCTATTTAATATTTTAAAAAAAAATTCATTTTATATTTTTTAAAAGTTATTGAAAAAATGAGAGATAATTTACGACAAAAGGTAATGCTTACATTATGTTTATAATATTTTGTTATTATTTAGAAGGTTATGATTTGATCTTGAATAATTTTTAATGAATAAAAAACATAAATGAATAATTACTAATTACTTTATTATTATAATTAAGATTTTGCATGAAAAATTTTATAAATAATTCAAATGATATTAAATGATTTAAAAAAAATTAAGATTACGTTAAATTAAAATTAAAATATTTTAAGATAGTTAACATCGAATTTTTATTCTTATAAATATAAATATATATATTTATAAAAACTTTAAGATAAATATATTTTTGTTGCAATAAATATTGATTTAATGTGTTAATATATTTTTTTATTAAAATATAATACAATAATAACTGTTTAATAACAAAATATATTGTTTTAAAAATAAATAATACGTAATTTCTAATCATAATATTAGAAATTAAATATTTTTAATATTTAATTATTTATAATTATTTTTATTTAATTTAAATTGTTCCTAAATTTTTTCCATTCCAAATTTTTAATTCTCTAGATTTATTTAAAAAAAAAAATGAATATATCTATATCTATCTCAAATAGATTAGAAAAATCTGTTTATAATATTTTATATGTATTGCATATAACATGCATATATATATATATATATATATATACATATATACATATACATATATACATATATACATATATATATATATATATATATATATGTATATTACATAATATTTTAATCTTATTTATATTATATTATGTTTATAATATTATTTGTATTTTTTAGGTATTACAAACATTTAAAAAATTGCATCGTACTCGAATGAAAACTTTTCAAAGTGATGAACATGCATTACAAGGTAAGTTAAATATGATTATTAAATATATTTGAAAAAATTATTGAAATTATAATATTTTGATAAGTCTATAAATTTGACTTAGTATTAAGGAACAAGATAAACGAGGAGTACAAAAAATATAAAAATGTCACAAATACAGCTGCTATTGAAGAGGTAAAATTTTTATTCTAAAATACAGTGAAATTTCAATTAACTGAATTTTGGTTTAATCAGAATCTATTTTCATTGTTCAATGAAAAAATATACTATACAATTCAATTTTTGAAAAACAGTCAGAACAATATTAATAAATACATACACAATGATTAAGAATTATGAAAGTTATTATTTATTTCATTTTTACAGCAATTAACAAAACAGGGAAGAAACACAAAATTTCTGAATCGAGCAAAATATTCCATTTCTTATCAAATCAAATATATATCATATTAATAGATCTTCATTTATATAAATTTAATAAGAGGAAAAAGCAGTTATGTAAAAGATAAATTCATATAATACAAGTTATACAATATCAATTATTTTTAATTTTTTATTCAAATAATCAAAATTTTTATTTGAATAAATGGATTTAATAATATATATAAATCATTCTTCCAATTACATTTAATGTTTTAAGTTATTTTCACTATTTTCATTAATTTCATTAATTTTCATTAATTTTATTTTTTCAAAGTTCACTTAATGATAAAAAAAATTTCATATATTATTTCATAATTTATATGTATAATATAAATAAATAGAATTCTTCTATGTTGGAATACTACTACTAAATTATATTTTTTTTTTCAGATTTAAATATTCAATGAATTTTTATTTATTCTTGTCTTATATCAATGAAATCGGTTAATTGAGATTTCACTGTAATTTGTATGATAAAATTTTTTTTAATATAATAATATATATTTTGCAAGGATTATTAATACATTGATTATTATAGGGATTATTAATTGTCAATATTTCAATATATTATAATATTTAAAATACATTATTATTTTTGTAAAATTTTTAATACTTTTAATACGATAATACTAAAAAAAAATTAATAAATTATTAAATAAATAAATTAAAATTGTAAATAAATTATTACATAGAGAGATTAAATTAATTTATTTGATAAACAAAATATATATTAAATAATTTTATTTATTATAATGAAATATATAATAACTAATTATAAATGAAAAATCTTCAATATTTATAAAAAACATATAAAATAAATTTTAAGCTCATCTTGCAAATATATGAAATCACGGATATCCCATGAAGATACGAAATATCGCGAATAATAAACATTCTTAATTTATGGACATATGTGCATATTCTAAAAATAGATTATAAATAATTTTCAAAGGTAATAATATATATCATATAAAGTAACAAACAATATTAATATTCGATCGTGGATTATATTTTCTAAATAAAGATAATTCAGGAATGAAAAAAAACTATATATATTTAATTAAACATTTTATTAGATGATTTATTAGTCTATATTATATGATATATAAAAACGTGTTTTATTCTTTTCTGTTATATTTCGAATATGATTATTATAATACTTTAACTAATGAATTTTTTTAAATATAAGTACAACAGGGGTAAGAAGAAATTATGGAAATTGATAAGTATATCAACGGTTTAACAGGAAATAGAAAAATTTGATTCCGTTTTTTCAAAATTTGTAATAAATCTGTATAATTATATTTTTGTCTTGATAATATTATAGAGAAAAAGAGAGAGATAATCATATATATAAATACATAAAATACAAATAAAGCACAAGTTATTTCAAACATTAGACTTTAATATATCTTATTTTTTTTCTTTTTTTTTCGGATATGAATAAAATGGAATTAATTTTTCTGGATATTGGGATAAAAATTTATTAAATTATATATTAAATTATATGTTTGAAAAAATTACTGAATTTAGTATTGTTTTAGCTAAACAAATTTGCGGAAGAAGTAGAACATGAAGTACGAACGACAATAGTCCAAGCAGTTGAAACAAAACCTGGACATTTTGGTAATACTGTTAAAATTATTATAATTATAAATTTTTTTTCATTACTGATTTTATTTTACAATATTTTAGAATTACGCATTACACCTGATATAACATTAGTAGATAATGTGCCCTACAAAGATGAGCCATGTAATACAAATAATAAGGATAATTTAGATACTTCTACTTCGAAAAATAAAACAAAATAATTATGTATAATTATAAATATAAAATATATTTAAATTATGCAATAAGTTAAATAATTAAATCTGTTATTATTTTATGGAAATATATAAATATTTATATATGTAATTAATTCTTTATTAAAATTCTTTATAATAATATTTAAATATTGAAAGCCTCAAAGGAAAAGTGATATAAATGACAAAATTATTAACTTAAAAAAATTATGGATCAAGTTGAATTTAAATAGAAAAATATTATTATGAATAACAATAATCATATTATGCCAAATGTGACAGTATAGCATTTCAAAAGCTATTTTATTACCAAGATTTTAATAAAGAATGCAGAAAAAGTCGCATTTTCAGTGCATCTTCACAAAACAAGAAAATATGTGTTCAGTTGTGAATTATTCTTGATATTTCAAAAAAGAAAAAGATACGAATTGTATTACTATATTGTATTACAATTATATAATTATATAAAAACCTAAAATAAATTATATTGAATCAAAATATAGTAAATGAACTAATATACAGATATATATATTATTTATAATATTAAAACTTATTGATATATTAAAGATTTAGAAAATAATAAAATCTTTTAAATAAATAGTATTTATTTATTTTAGAAATCATTTGTATCATTCTTTTGAGCTTTCAATTATTTTTCATATTTTTAAGTTTTTTTTTAACATTAAATAACTACTTGAAATATTATAGTATTGATGATTTATTGCAAATTACAAATTATTTTAGAAGAATTATATTTATTATTTTCTTATATATCTTACAATACAATTGTATATTTATCTTAAAGAGGAAACAATATTGTAATTGAAACCAATTATAAATAATGTAAAAACTAATTATTGCAAAATATCTGCAATATTATATATTATATTATATATTTCTTCTAGTATTGATCTTTTGTTTTTAATGATTTCTAAATGATTTGTGATACTGATGTTAACAGAAAATAATATTTATACATTAATTAATTAATTCAATTATTCATTCTGCACATCTCCAATTGTTCTAAAAAAACATAAATAATATTTTTATAAATATTTATAAATTAATATATATTTGAATTAAAAAAATTTATTTGGAAATATTACTTACTTTTGGAATTGTCCTTGTATGTTGATAGGATATGTTAGTAAATTATTATTATGTATAGTATTAGTATATTATCTGTTATGTCCCGATATAAATGGGTTTTTATTTAAAGAACAATTTTAACAGTTCTCAATAAAAAAAGTAAAAAAGAATAGTTTTTAATACAAATACAATGTTTTTGGTGCAAACCTAATAGGGATTTATTTTGTAAAATTAATTTAGAAAATTTAACGAATTTAAAGATCATTATAAATAAATTAATTTTAATACTAACGGTAGTTCTGGATGAGCACGTATTTCATTAATTAAATCTGCTGGTCGTATTTGTTCAGTGCAGATGCGATGTATTGTAGTAAACAATGGAAATTTGTCTGTTAAATTACGAGCTTTTAACATTCCGTGAACTTCATCAGCTGTAGCTGGTCCTTGCAATTTTTGACCAGCTAAAAGTTCTTCTTCAAGTTGTCTAATGGTCTAGTAGAAAAAATATGATATAAATATATGTATATTATACTTTTTTATATATTTTTTTTATATGCTTTTATATTTTTATTATTTTTTTTATATACTTATTAAAAAATATATTGGAGAAATATACAAGAAATATATTGGAATAAAAAATATAAGAAGAAATGTGATTTATACTTTGCCAGTTTTAACATATTGTTCGCAAACTCTACGATTTCTTCCACCATAGCATGTAGTTATCAAATCTGCCACACCACAACTTTCAAAAAATGTTGCAAGTTTTGAACCAGTATAAAATGTATCTACAAATCTAACCATTTCTATTAATCCAAGTCTAATAATAGCTGCTTTTGTATTATCTCCTAATCCTATACCATCTACAAAACCAGCAGCACATGCCACAATATTCTAAAATATAAATTATAATTATTAAAAATAAATTTATTAAGTAAATTCATTTTATTTAAAATTAAGTTTATATAATTAATTACATACTTTCAAAGCACCACATACTTCAACTGCTTCACAATCTTCAACAATTGAAACTCTGAAATTGGAGGTTTGAATAAGATCCTTTAAAAGTGGAGCCAAACGTTTGTCTCTACAGCCTAAAAATAAAAATATAGTATAATTAAATATATATAATATAACTAATTAAAAAGTTATTAAAAATTTTTTAATTATGAAATATCCTATTAATATTTAATTTTCTATGAATTTATTATATTCTATTATTATCTCATTCTAATTATGAAATAATAAAAGAAAAATCTATTATTTCTATTATTTTTTTATTAGTTTTTATAATTAAGATAATTAATAAAATTAGAAATATAAATAATATAAAAAATTATAAATTAATTGAAAAAATATAAATAACATTATATATAAAATAATTATTTCATTAAATTATATAATTTTATATCTTTTCATTTGAAATGAAAGAAATGAGCGAAAAATTAATAAAATATTAAAAAATTTAATATTTATTTTTTAATTATTTCGATTAATTGATCGATTAATCAATTGATATTATAAAAATTAACTATATGCTTTAAAATATCAACAATTTTGCAGAATTATATATTATATATAATTGTATATAATATTATATATATATTATATAATTATATAAATATTATTTAATTATATATATTAATATAATTATATATTATAACAACATAATCTTAAAAAATTACTATATGTAATTGTTATTTTCATTCTTACTGATTTATTTTTTAATTTAAATTCATTATTAAAAATTAAAAAATTTTTTACTTATATCTTTTTAGCTAAATGTTAATTTTAATAATATTTTAAAATTAATAATAACACATTAAAATTAATAATAACATATATTTAAAAAACAGATCAATATTTTATTCTTTTCACTAATTACCAATAGTTGTCTCGCAAAACTTCTCTTCAGCAACTTCATTAGCTAAATTAGCACCCATTAAAACATAGCATTGAATTCTTAAATTTTTTTCAATGACTTTAGAGATAAGTTCGATATTTACTCCATCCCCTCGATCAAAACCCTTGATAAAATTTGAAAATTATTATTATAATAGTATTATTATGTATAAGAAATTATCATTAAAAAAAAATTTATTGAAAATAGATACCTTAATTAGTGATACTCCGACTGCAGTAGGTTTAATTTTATCGAGTAAAGTTGCACACAATGTTCTTATGAATTGATGAGGTAATACAAAAATAAGAATATCTGCATCTTTTGCAGCTTCAATAACGTCTGGAATAGCAACCTAGACATTGTAAAAAATTAAAAAATTAATATGCTTTATCTATTAAATATTTTGTATTGTTTATTAAACAACTCAATAATTCATTAGAATATATAATATTTAAATACAATAGATAATTATTTAGCTAAAATTAGAAAAATTTATAATTAATGGAAAGTAATACATGCATATATGTATATTATTTTATCTTTTAAATATATAGATGTATTAATTTTCTTTTGTTAATGATGTCTTCTAATTGTCTTATATAGGGATACAATATAATATTTTATTTTAATATACATTTATCAAATTAATAATAAAAATTTGTATATACATATATATTATACATTTTGAATTATGAAAATTAAGATAATAAAAATTAAGATTATGAAAATTAATATAAATTATCATTTCTTGTTTGAGAAAAATCAAATTTTTATTTAAAATTAGATTAAATATAATAAGATAGAAGAATAAGAAAATAAGATTATATATATTTCATATTATATATATATTTCATATTATATATATTACGAGGTTACAAAAACAATGATAAAAATTTATATATTGCACAATATATCACAAAACATATATATATATCTAAATAAATAAATGATCATTGAATGAGTTCATCATATAAATGATTATAGAAGATTTTAATCATATCTTTATTTTATATATTATATATTTATATATTATATATTTTATTATATATTATAATATAAAAAAATTTTAAAAATATATAAATATAATATAAAAAAAGATTTGTATATTTTAAGACCGGAAGAGATTTTTATTTATTTTAATTCTTTCAATTAAATTAATTATTAATTTTAATTTCACAAATAATCATAATTTTTTAATAAAAATGATTTTTATTTATTTTATATTTTTTAATTGAAATTATTAAATATTTCATTTATTTCTTCATAATAAAAGGATAAATAATTTTTAAAATATTGAATTTGAAATATTGAAATATTTCATCGAACAGAAAAGATCGAACCAAATGATAAATTTCATAAAAAACTATTATTTTACGATCATAATATTTTCAATTATAAAATTATAATATTATTTATAATAATAACATTATATAATATAATATAATATATATAATATAATTTATATATTTAATAATTTTATGTAAATATATAGTTTATATAACAATATGTAAAAATGATTGAAAATAATTGTCACACTTTTAATTATTAAATGTTTTATAAATTTCTTCATATATGATAATAAATTTTAAAAATTTTATCATATTTGTTTTACTTTTAGAATATATTATGTTGAAAAAATAAAAATTACAATGATTATTTAGCAAAATAATACTATTTAAAACGAAAAATTTTTATTAAAAGATAATCAATAAGTAAATAAATGTTTTTAAAAATAATTTATTTTTGATAAAAATATGAAAAAACATGTAATTGAATAATAATTTATGATTTTTTAACTTAATGTTTTATGCTTTATTTAAAATTTTGCCATTTCTTATGTTTTAAATATTTTTAAAATATAAGTTTGTTTGATATTTAATAAGTACTAATAACGCTAAATAACAAAGTTCTAATAAACATTTGTAAATATTTTTTTAAAAAATTTTTGTGAAAAAATAATGTGTATACTTGACAAATATTAATAAATATTATTATACTTGATAAATGTTATTTATTGTAACATTCAAATCTATTGAATTGGTTTCTATTATTTAATCTTATTTATTTAATATACAAATATTTCTCAATGGCAATAGGTTTAATATCAGTTTGTGCAAAGGAAATAAGTACTTGAATCAAGATAGTATTATACTTATATAAGTTTGTTGAATGAAAAAAAAGATTCTGATATAAATTTAAATTTGATAATAGTCTATATATATATATATATATATATATATATATATATATATACATATATTATAATAGATAATATATAAATTTATAATAAAATATATATTCTTTATTACATTACATGTAAATAAATTATAAATTTCTATTATACATTTATCATTTATTTTTTTTAGAAATTCCTTTAATTTCTTAAAAAAAAGATTTGTTATGTATATCTGTCTATGTATTTTGTATTGTATATCTATCTAATATTTATTTTCTCTAAAAGAAAAAAAAAAAAATATTTAATAAAATTTTTTAAAAACTTTTAAGATAAACATTTATTAATATATTTCTTAAAATATTTTTATTCAAAATTTAATTTGCTATTAAATTGCATACTAATACTTTTACGATCAGTATATAAGTGCAAATGAATATAATTAACAGGCAAGTTGAAAACAAAATAAAATTTGTTTATAAAATATATACATTATTACATAAATATGTATAATCACAATTCTAAATATTAATAATTTCTGCAAATTGCAATCACATATTAAATTATAAAAATACTAATTGTTAGACAGAATGTCAAAAAAAATTTTTTTTTGCATATAGTAAAATTTGTCATAAATAAAATTCTTTTAGTTTCCTCCTACATATTATCATTACCTAAAATCAACACATACTTATAAAAAGATAATATGTTTACCATTCAAAACACATAAGTAGACATATGTACATACATAAGTAATGTGATATCAGTTACGCCTATGGAAAGTAGAGGGGAAACGCTTAAATAGTAATGCTAGTGCGCAATTTCTACATTGTATATATTGCAATAACATTTAGGAGTGGCGTATTAAATTCCTGCGAATTATTGTTTCAAGTGTGATACGCTTGATTAAATTTCAAAAAAACAATCATGAGAATTAATTCTATTGTGCCGAATTTTGAAGCAGATACTACTCAAGGACAAATTAACTTTTATGATTGGCAAGCAGATTCGTAAGTTTAATTATATTTGTTTATTTTTTCCTTTACTTCTGTCTAGTATTAATTTAAAATACTATGAATAATTTTATATGATAAGTATTAGAAATTGCGTAGATTGTTGTTATTATTATTTTTAAGTCGTATGTAATACTCACGTTACATATCAAATAAAAAAACATACAATTATGTATGTGTATCTAAATTATTATAATTATTTCATAAGATTTTTAAAAATTTTGTTTTTATTTTTCTTATGTATTCACTGGCATCAAATGTATTTTACAAAATCATAAAAAGTCATCATCGGCACGTTACGATATGTCAAATAAATAATGTGTTAAAGAAGAATAATTCTTTTTTTCTTTTTGTATATATATAATATAATATATATAATATATTCTTAAATAATTTGATAGTCAATTGTATGAACATATTTTTCAATCATATATAAATGATCTTATTTCATTTCATTTTATTTTATTTTTATTCGAAATTATCTTCATAATTTTCAGATTAATTTTCAATGACTCTAAGTAGGATTATTCTCTGTAATTAAATTTTTCATATAATTTTAATTTCATAAAATTCTTTTTTATGTTATGAATTGCTTTTAAAATTGTTTTAATATTGAGAAATATTTAATGTAATCGTTCAATTGATTTTAATATAATTTTAAATTTTAGAAAAATCTGATAGAAATCCTCCTAGAAGGTGGATCTTTAATTTTTTAGCTTCGGACTTAGATTTCGACACAGACAGCTTTTGGGCTTAGAATTCGATAGAAGTTAAAAAAATCGATATTAAAAAGATTTCTTTGCAATCAATAATGTGATTAATGTTTTTTGTTGTTTATTACGAAAAATAATTTTGTTTATAGAATTAAACACCTTATTTGAAATAAAATAATGAATCTATCACTTTAATTATTTTATTATTTTTATTTTCGAAATATCATAGGAAAATTTATTTAAATCATAAACATATTATAATATAAACATAGATTTCAAATATTTGTATTTGATTCTGATTTAGAAAATTTGAATATTTGAAATTTCTGAATTTCTGATTTCTTACTCTTAGATCACCAGAACCAAGATTACAAAAAGTAAAGATAATTTCTCTAATAATAGATGCTCTAATTATAGTATAATATCATTTCACCTATGTTATTCTCTTATTTCATTAAATAGATAATGTGATATTATTATACATATTTTATCAATAATGTTTTATTTTATTATTGATTTTATATTATTAATTAAATTAATTATTATATTAATAATAACTTTTTTATTAATATCTAATTGTGCTTAATTAATTAAATTTTATTATATACAATACAATATACTTATTTATTTTTATTTTAATTTATTTATAAATTATACCTATAATATAATATAATATATAAATAATCTTCATATATTGTGTAATTACATAATTGATTTTGATGAATACAATATAGTTCACAAATTTGAGCAAATCTTGTATAATACCGATATTTACATGATGCAATATACTAATTTTATAAAAAAAATTTTAAGATCATTTGTTTATTAATTATGTATTTTTTATTTATTTTATCTTAACTTAATAATAGCTTTTTTCTATAAAAATGAAATTTTTTATTTTTTGGATTTTTATTTTGTTAAAAAATTTAAAAAGTATTACATATTTATAAAATATGTAATATTTAATTTTAAAATATTAAAAATTTTACATTGGAAATTAGTATAAATTGCATGTTGTTTATTGTTTTAATTATTTTTCAATTATTTTTCATTTATTTTATTTTTCAATTGTATCACTTATATTTTTGCATTAATATAAAGTTATTTTCATCTATATTTATTATTATTATTAGTTGTGTAGATTTACATAATACATTTATTTTTCGTGTGTATTGAAAGATTGTTATGAATAATTTTTTATTTTTTATTAATTTTAATAAATATATTTTTATAATATTTTAATAATCACAAAATATAGGTTAAAAGTGTCAGTAAAATAACAAATATATTTAATTTTTAATTAATGATTTTATTTTATTAATTTTTATTATCCATTTTAATAATATATACATATTTTAACAATTTTTTGTAAGTCATATTTTATTAAAATAATTCTTGCTCCTATATTTATGAAATAAAATAATAGACAAATTTTATTTTTCATATTTTGATGATTCATTATTGATTCATAATGATTGCTACATAATTGAAATATTATTAATTATGAATTGAAAATATGCTAACAATATATTATGTATTATTTTTTTACTGCTTAGTTTAATTGTATCATAAACTGGATACAAATAATCTAACATTATTTAAGATTGATTATTGATTAAACTTACGAAATCAGAGAAAAAGAAATAATATTTTTGGTGTTAAAATATTAGATAAATAATTTTAAGTCACTATGTATTTTTTATATATATATACAGATAGTACATCTTCTAGTTTTAATTAAAATGTAATTAGATAATTAATAGACAAGAATAGTAATAATATATAATATAATATAATAGCAATAGAATAATAAAAAAAATAATAGATATAATAAATATAATAAAAACAAAATAAGTAATTTACCATAATAAGTTACTATAATAAATAGAAATATGCATATACACAGTGCATAATATTATACACAATAATAGAATAATGAGAAAAGTAATAGATATAAATATAATAGAGATAAGAAAAATGATCAGTTATTAAGTTGAGATATAAGTTTGATCATAAAAACATTTGGCTCTATTCTCTTCTTAAATAATTAGATTATCATTGAAGATATCAAGTTGATTTTTTTACTAATATATAATTTTTCATAAAATATACTATGAAATGTATTATATAGTTTTAATATCAATCAATTGTATTTATATTATATTTATAAAATTATGATGTATTTATAAACTGTATTAATGCAAATTTATATAAGCACTTTTATTATTTTTTTTGGACTTGTTAATTATAGATGGGTTGTTTTATTTTCCCATCCTGCCGATTTTACACCTGTTTGCACCACTGAATTAGGACGTTTGGCAGTGCATCAACCTCATTTTAAACGTCGAAACACAAAACTTTTGGCTCATTCTGTCGACAAACTACAAGATCACGTTGATTGGGTTAATGTAAGTTACAAAAATTTTACAATATTTAATGAGACAATAATATAAATATAAATAAAGATACTGTGTTTTTTTAAAAATAAATATCTCTTTTTAATAAACACATGTTAATTTTGTTCAAAAAATTGCATTAATCAAATAATGAAAATTTATTTCAAAAAAAATATTTTATGATGAGCATAGCATTTTTCTATATTTTTTTAGAAATTTGATCATACATTTCTTGAATGTATGGAGTTTATCTATAGCTAACAATGAACTGTTTATATTTGTGATCATTTCGTTAAATATCGAAGCTTTCGATCATTTCGAAATTTTTCTATATAAAAGAAATTATACTTATCATAATATATCTTATTATCTAAAGATATTATATATCTTTTATTTAAAGATAAAATAAATTTTTTTTTAAACATATGTGAGCTTCTGTTTCGAAGATATTATTATATCATTTATATTATTATAATATATTATTTATTTATTATTCACAAATTTATTCGTTTAAGATAAATTTATTCATTTAAGTATTTAAGTATATATATTCACAATATAAATGAATTTTTAAATATGTATGTGCAATATTATAATATTTGCAAATTACAAATATATTATTTTTATTATAGGATATCAAATCTTATTGTCAAGATATACCTGGAACATTTCCTTATCCGATAATTGCTGATCATGATCGCACTTTGGCAGTGAAATTAGATATGATCGATGAAATTAGCAAAGATGATCCAGAACAAGCATTAACTGTTCGTGCTTTATATATTATAAGTCCCGATCATCGGTTACGTTTATCAATGCATTATCCAACATCCACTGGACGCAATGTAGAGTAAGTTTTTTTATTATATTATTATTCTTATACCAGAAATACATTATTTTTTTGAATAAAAATATGAAATTTTTGTTGTTCTTTTATTCTTAATTTCAAATTCTAATGATAAAACAATATTGAAATCAAATTTTGAAGCAAGTATTGATAAATATCGATCTCGAGAATTATTTTATTATATAAAAAATTAAATTTTAATATTTGTCAAAAAAAGAAAATTTATTATAATAATTATAAATATTATAATATTATAAAAATATTATAATATTATAATAATTAAAAATTATTTTAATTAAAATAAAATTTTTTATATATACCTCAATTTCTTATAGATATAAAATTCAAAAGAAATTTTAATTTATAATGATGTAAAGAAATAGAAACATTCGAAAAAATATTAAACTCAAAATTAAAATTTTCCTAAAATGAAATGTTAATATTTTTCTAAATATTCGTCTTCTTTTTGTTTGAATCTTTCATATTTCATAATGTGTAAAGACATCCATAATAATATTTTGTATATAAATTTTCATAAGTCATCAAATTATATATTTGTATCTTTGATATAAAAATAAAGATCATATTATATTATAAGTATAAGTATATAAGTATAAATATATAATTAATAATATATTTATGATTTCTAGCGAAATCTTGCGAGTTATAGATTCCTTGCAACTTGTCGATAAAAGACCGGAAATAGCAACTCCTGCTAACTGGGTGGTAAGAAAAATTATTTCCTTTTTTCAAAGTTGTTGTTTCTATTTCTAAATATTTAAACAATATTTTAATAGATAATAATATTCAATATTTATTATATTATTATATATTTATATTTATGTACTTATATTTAATATTAAATTTATATTTATATTTAATATTATATTTATATTTATACTTATATTTAATATTTATTTTATTATAATTTTATGAAAATTAAAATTGTGTTTTATTCTTTATTTATAGCCAGGTGAAAAAGTTATGATTCTTCCAACTGTAAAAGACGAAGAACTTCCTAAACTTTTCCCCAAAGGAGTGGACAAAGTGTCAATGCCTTCTGGCAAAGTTTATGTCCGCACAACCACAAATTATTAAACATATTCATAAATGAAGTTTTAATATTATTAAATATATGATATATTATTTTATATTTTATATTTATCATAAAATTTTATATTTATATAAAATTTTATCTTTCATTTACTACTATTAAAAATTATCATGCTTCTCATTGTAGTAGTTATTTAATACAATATATAATAAACTTTCTTTTCTATTATTTTCACTAATATATTTGATTTCTATAGTAAGAAAAATATTATTATACATAAAATTAAATTTTTCATTGTTATATATGTATGATGATAGATCATATATATTAATTTTATTTTAATATTATTATTTATTTTAATATTCATTATGTATAAATAAATAATAAATACATAATAAATATTTCTTATATTAATATTAAAAAAATGGATATATTAATAATATACATACATATGAATTATTATATACATTATTTTTTCTAATCATTTTCTAAAACAAAATTCTAATTGAATTCTTCATGAAATATAATAAATTTTATTAAAGCGAAAAAAAATTAATCCTGCAGTGGCACATCAAAATTTTCCATTATTTCAATGGAATACTCATTTTCATTATTGTATCGCAAAATTATTACAAATATAATTTATATAATTTATAAAATAGATATTTTTAAATATATTAATGAACTTTTTCAAAACTTTTTGTATTATAAATATGCGAAATATATCCCAACTGAAAAAATATTAAGTAATTGTCCTATTTTTTAGAAAAAAAATATTGTGCTATTGCAGGGTTAAATCAATTCAATGACTTAGGTCTGATCTTCGAAAAATAATAAAAATTGCAAATCTCATCTTAGATATAAATTATAAAAATATCAATTCTCAATTAAATTATAATGAAATTTTATTAATCATCCTATCAAATTATAAATAAACAAAAATAAAAATTATGGACATTATATTAGTTTGTAAAGGCAAATCAAAAACAAATGCATCTTTCTTTTTTTTAATTTTAATTTTTTTAATACAAAAATATTTAATCATATATAAATATTTAATATATATTATGATATTATAATTTATATATAATTAAAATATATAATAAAATAAAAAAAATGACTTATAATTACTATGCTCAGCGAAATAATTGTAATTATTATATTAATATCACTTACAAATTAAAAAAATACAAATTCTAAGTATATTAGAGAAATACTATAAGGAATATATTTTTTTATTATCGATTTATAAAGTTTATCTTTATAATATTGCTACTATTATAAAATATTAATATTAACAAATATAATCTTTCATTTTTATCATTTTTATTAATGAAACATCATTATACATATAAATATATTTTTTGTTCTCAAATTTAATGAAAAGAAAAATGCAAATATCATTTATTAATAATAAATTATAATATATATATAAATTATAAATTTCAATTTTTCAAGTCTAAAATAGAATAAATATCGTTTTATTAAACATTTATAAGTGCACTTGTATTTTCAATAAAAATTTTCAAATTTGAACGTAATATTTACAAAATTAAAAATAAAAATGTTTAATTCGTAGACTTCCCATAATCTTGAAAATTAAAATGATACACTTAAAAAAAAGACATGCGATTTTAAATGTTAAACAAAACAAAACTTACAATATTTTCTGGAAGTCTGTGTCCAGGAAGATATTTCACATTTTCATGTAATTGATTGATAATATCACTCAACTTTTGGCTATTCACTATTTCTTCGTAAACGTACATTGTTACGCGTGTTTCAAATTTATTATTAAATTTTACTACATTGGCACCAATAATTTTTGCAATAGCTGAGCCCCTAAAGTATAAAAATTAAAATAAACGATTACTGGTATAATTATTTTATTTTAATTTGTCAGTTTTATATAAATATATATAATTAATAACACGTTGAAAGATAATTTTGAAATTGTATATAAATGCAATTGTATGTACAAAATAAATTGATAAAAAAATAAAAAAATTGTAAAAATTAAAAATAAAATATAAATATAAAAATAACATATATAATTGATTAAAAATATAATATAATACGATTTTTTAAGATGATATTATGATTTTGATAAAATTGGCACATAATTTTGATTCATTTTATAAATATAAGAAATAAAAGAAAGAAAGAAATTCGCATCACATACCAGTTACCACTTCCTACAATGCACACCCTCTTCTTTGCATCTGTAGCCATTTTGGTATCTTAATGTATAAATGATACAAAATTTATAAGTTCACGAGGGTATAAGAATGCTACACAAAGTACCACAAATTAGATTATTTTCAAACGCTGATGTACGACTGACTGACTGACCGATTAACTTACAAACTAACTTCAGCCTTCATTGACCTTAGTAACGATCGCAAATTATTTTTTAACGGTTGGCATTCATTGTTCTGGATCAAGGCCAATATAAACGTAACAGCAAACCGTAGCCAGAATGAATGTTAAAATTAGCAATTGCTTAATAATAATACTTAGGATGATATCTTGAAGATTTTAACTATATTACAACATAATCTTAAATTTTAAATTTGAAAAGAAGTAAAAATTTTCAATACAGCTTACTGAACATAATATTAAGAAATATTAATATAACATAATATTAAATATTAAAATAAAAACAGAAATATAAAATAATAAAAATATAAGAATATAGAAAAATAAACGGATTATATTAATTTGCAAAATAATAATCAAAGATGTAGCACCCATTACTAAAACTTATTATTTTTAAATAAACATAAAAAAATTTATCCAGTATCCAATTATTCGTAAATTTTTATCACTGTGTTATATAAGTCATTGTAGTTATCGTTACATTGTCCATATCAAAATGTAGATATGGAAATCTATGCTTTAAATAAAAACAGTTTTTAAAATCGAAATAATGTAAATCTTCTTTTATGTCTTCCAAATAATCTTCATAGGTGACATCTTGGTGATAGTAATTGTAGTATTGGTGCGTTAACGTCGTTGTTCCTAAATACGAAGCAAATATAATTAAAATTTATGAATCTTTTATGCATTTTTAATTATATTTTACGCTTTTACACCCTTAAATATATCAAAATTTAAATATGTAAATGTAGTATAATATCTAATTATAATTAATATTAATGAATTTATATTACAATATATGTAATAGGATATATTATATAAAAAAATATATTACATTAAAAAAAAAAATAATGTAATTAACAATGACTAAATTATTATTTGGAATTACAGGCTTTGGAAAAAGGACAAATATAATTCTAAATAAAAATTTATCAATTAACAAGTAATAGTCATATATTTGTTATGTCTATATTACACTGTTCAAATTAATTTTAATTTTAGTACAACAATTCACAATAAATTAATGAAATTTATCAACATAAAATCGAAATATTTAAAACATTTGTTTGTAGATTTTTCTTAATTTCTAAAATACAACAATTCTCATAAAATTTTCATTAAAATATAACGCACAATACAAAATATATTTAAATGTATTATATACTTATAATTTTATTTTATGAATAAAATATTTATATATTTCATATTCATATATGCAGCTAAAAAAACAATTACATGATTAAATAATTTTGTTAAGGGTGTACCAAAATTATTATATTCATTATAACTATTTTTTAATATAAAATATAAGCTTTAAAAAAAAAGTAAAAGAGAGAATAAGCAATAACAATTTAAATTATATAATGTTATATAATTTAATAATGTCTTTGGCAATTATTATGGCAAAATTATAATGTTTATAAAAATCCATGGTCCTTATATTTCCTCTTCTATAATATTTTCTTTTTTCGATTCTTAAATTCATTTTAGTAAAATTGTCAAGGCGGTACATATTATACATATAAAAACTAAAAATCATTTTTATATAAATTTTAATGTTTTTTAGATGATTTGCGTAGTTCATATAGAGCATTTACATTCTTGATAATTTCTTGTTTCATCTCTGTTTAAAAAAAAAATGAAATTTTAAAAATATCTCATGTACAAATTTTATTTATGAAATACTGACGAAAACATTAATTTCTTAATAATAAAAAGAAAGATTAATAAAAAAATTTTGTAACATTCTCGTAAAAACAATAACATATTTTCATACAAAATAATGATACATAATAATATGATTTAGCAGAGTGTCTCAGCTTCTTTTGTTAAACTTTTTCAAAAATATTTTATGGGCATAAAATGGAAAAGATAAAATAAAAAACATAAAAAGGTAATAAAAAAAGATTTTATATAAACTTAAGATACTTTTGGAAATTTATAATAAAAATATAAAATATAAAAAAAAATACTAGTAGACTTACGATTATTATAATAAAAAATAATCAATATTTATTAAATCAATAATTATTAAATATTGTAAGATTTAAAAATATATTTTTGTGCAAATAAATAGATATTAAAAAAATTAATATTTTTATTATACTGAACATAATAAATTTCTAATATAAAATTCAAATTATATAAACATGTTTATATAATAAGATATATAAATATCTTATTTTCTTTTTTATATCCATAAAACATTTTGAAAACGTTTGATTGAAAATATTTAAACAATTCGTTTATATTTATTCAACTTTTATCAATTTTATTGTTACATCTTACATATAAATGATTATATAAAGATTATATAAAGATTGATCAAATAATAAAATAAATAAAATATGTTAAAGTATATTTTTTTTCGCCTTGTATTATTGTTCTAAAATATTCTAATACAAAAATATATGAAAATATTTATACAAAAAAAAATATTTATATCATTTTTAATATATAGATATATTATATATAAAAAAATATATTATGCTTTTTTTTTAATTTTTTAATGAATTATCAAAATTCTTTCATATACAATTATATATAATGCATTATTAATTAAAAAAAAATTTTATTTAACAGAAGTTAAAATATTTTATTGTATATATGTATTGCATTTAGAAAAAAGATACATAATTTTTTTTTGATGTAAATAATAATTATTTACAGGTATGTACATGTATTATATACATTATACATATTATTGTAATAATATTTAGATACTTTTTATAGATTACCAATTATTTTTACATATGATGAAATGTATAACAATATAAATAGGACCATGGTCAAAGATATTATTGTTACAATAAAATTTTAAATATTATAAAATATTAATTTAAACAAATAAAATTTTAAATAAACTAAAGCTTAGATCCTATATTTTCTATGATATCAAATCAAATTTACTAAATATCACATATTTATATGTCTTTCGTTGAATTTCTATATTTATATGTAATAGTACTATATATTAATTCCAAAAATAAATTTTTTTTACAATATATTATTCTATTATTCTAAAATATTCTAAAATAAATGTTAGATATGTATATATATACATATTGATTGAAACTAATCCATCATTAATTATAATGGAGACAATGAGCTTACATGTATTCTGGATGATTGCGTAAGTGTTCAATTAGTTCCATAGGCATTGTCTCACCAATACAAATCCGATGTACTGTTGTAAAAAGGGGAAATCTGTTTTCCATATTTTTCGCTTTTAACATATAATTTACTTCTTCAGCAGTGAAAGGACCTTGCAACTTTTGTCCATTTAACATTTCCTTTTCCAACTCAGAGATTTTCTGTAGAGGAAATAATACATTATACATTTTTTTATATATATTTATATAATATAGTATATAATATATAATATATTATTTAATCTCCTATCATGTGCATAAGTTTATAATATATATATATATATATATATAAAGTTACATGTAATTTGTAAAATCAATAGTTAAATCATAAATTAAATTATTATATTTATAGTAATATTATATATGAATAACTTATTGTTCTTACAATTTCATTCAGTATATAGTAATTAAAACTGACTTATATATTAATAAATATTAAAATTTAATAATATATATATTTAAATTAACCTTGCCCGTTTTTACAAATGCTTCGCAAATTTTACGATTTCGACCACCGTAACAAGTTGCAATTAAATCTCCTACTCCACAACTTTCAAAGAATGTAGATTTTTTTCCACCAGGGAAAAAAATATTCACAAATTTAATTATTTCCATAAGACCCAATCTTATTACTGCAGCTTTCGTATTATCACCTAATCCTAAACCATCGATGAAACCAGCGCCGCAGGCTACTATATTCTGTTGAAAAATAAAATTAAATAGTATTTGATATGCAATTTTTAATTCCATTATATTATATATTATATTATACATATATAACTTTTTAATTAATGAAAAAATGTAAAAAATTAAGAAAAGTATTATCATGATTAAATAATCGAATTATCACGTATTATAATCTTATGAGTTACATAAATTTTTTTTTAAATTTGCTATATAAAAATAAAAATTTATTTATTTAAATATTATTTTAACTTCACAAAATTATATAAAAAATAATATTAAATTCTTAATTAAAACAAATTTTTATCATAAAATCTGTTCATTAAAAAAAAAAATGAATGAATCTGCCGATTAATAAAAAAAAAAAAATTGAAAATCATTTAAAAAATATTTTTATCTATTTATATATTTATATCAAATCTTTATATATTTATTATTTGTATTCTATTTTTATTTTTTAAATTTTAAATTAAATTATACATATTGATATATGTCTTATGTACATTATATGTCTTATATAATTATTTATATATTGAAAATTAATAATTCATATGCATATTATAATTACAAATTATCTAATATAAATCTGATTGAAAAGTTATTTGAATTAAAAATATATTTAGGATATTTAGGATATTTTTGAGATATATCCTTTTTATGATTATTATATTTATATCTTATTCGCTTTATATATTTTTAAATTCTTAATATTGCAATAATTTATTTAATTAAAAATTTCCGAAAAATATTTTTCATTTTCATAATATTTCTTGATTACTTTTTTGAAATATAAAAAAAAAAAGAAAAGAGGAAGAAAATATTTTTTTATCAATTTTTACTTTCAGATCGATATGTATTTTTTTTTAAATACTTGTAACATCTGTTGTAGTTTCAACAACATTTTGACATATAATACATTAAGAATTTGTATAGAAGTGATGCATTATATTTGTTTATATTTATCTTTATTCATAATTTATATTTATTCATGTAAATAGATTTCAAATAATTATAAAAATGTATCAAAAAAATTATAAAAATGTTTCAAAATTCAAAGATTTCAAATTTAAAATTCAATATAAAATAAATATGAAATAATATCAAATATATCTAATAATTTTTTATATATTTCAAAAAAAAATACAAAAGATTGAACAAATGTTTTTCGTATAAAATAAAAAAAGAAGAAATATTATTTGTAGAATTCCTATTAAAATTTGATAGATAATTATATTAAAAATATGATATTATAAATATTAAAAATTTTTCCATTATTAAAATAATTTTCAATTTAAGTCAAAAATGTAATCAAAAAAAATTTTCTTTTCATATTTGTTATCTGTTTAAATATACTGCTCTATTTTTTACAAAAAAACAAAATAATCATTTTTTTTACTTCATATTATTACATTCTATATTAAAAATTAAATTTATAAAATATAAACTTTTTATCATTATTACGATTCTATAAACGAAAAAAAGATATAATTTTACATACAACGAAATATGAATTTCGAAGATATATGTATTTGAAATAACTTTTCTATTGTATTCTGTTTTAATTTATAAAAGCTTATTAATAAATTTGTTAAAAAAAAAGTGTAATATATTTACCTTTAATGCTCCACAACATTCAACCGAATCAACATCTTCAACTACTACAACTTTAAAATATGATGTTTCTATTAAATCTTTCAGTATAGGAGCCATATTTTTATCCTTGCAACCTAGATATTAAAATACAACATTTATAAAAAAATGAAATAACTTATATTAAACATTAAACTTATATTATAATAACTTATATTAACTCATATTAAACATTATCAAAAATATATAAAAAATAACAAAAAATTTTATGATATAAATTTTATGTACACAGAAATTTTTTTCAATTTGTGTGCAAATAGTAAAAATTATTTAAATATGTCATATCAAATATAAAGAGAAAATTATTAATATATATATATATGTTATATTATATATTATATATATATTATATATATAATATTATATATATATATATATATCATTATAATATATCATTATCGCATATTTTTATAATTGATATTGAAATTTATTCTATCAATTATATTATTCATCATAATGACTTTAAAATATTGACAAAATATCAATTTTAAAAATTTATATTTCGAAAATAAAAGTGAAAAGACATCGATAATATTTTGGAAATCTTTCAATTAAAATCTTTATTAGCTATTCTTGAAAAAAAAAAGAAAGTGTGTGTGTGTGTGTATAGTTCTATTTTAAAAATTAAAATATTTTTTTTTGGTTTTTCAAAATCATCTCAAAATCAAATAAATATAATTATCATCATGGTCCATAACATTTTTTAGTATCGTTAAATCTGAAACATTTTTCAATTTAATGATATAGTACACATATTTGCAACTATATTTAAAATATACACGTATTTGCAACTATATAATACAAATAAATCTTGATTAATGCAAATTCAATAGTACAATATTTGAATTTATATAGATTATATCAGATTACATTACATACAATGTGAATAAAAATTTAATTAGTATAAATTAAATTATCAAGTTTTTTTTATAAATATTTTTTTTCATATTTAAAAATATAATTAAAAACGAGATAAAATACAAATTTTTTATTTAAAATTATTTTTTATTTTTCAAATTTAAAAATAAATAAATTAAAAATTCAATTCAATATCTTTCTTTGTTTTTGATTTAATTTTTTAATATTAGATATTATATCTTTAATTAATTTCTTATACATAATAATAATATGCAATTTACAAATATACATCTCGATTAATTTTTAACGTGCCTCTTCAAACAAAACTTTAAGAAGAGAAGAGAAGGAGAAATGCATGAATTTTTTTATATGTAGATTTTAAAAACATTTTAAATTTTAAGATTAATTTTGTTATTTTAAAAGGAATGTTATATTTTTTATATTAAAATATCGAAGAATATTTAATTGTAATATTACTGTGAAAAAAGTATTCGTCTTTATTCTATTATGTTTTTATTCTGTTATTATCTTATAAACGTAATGATTTCATTTCATTGTTTAAAAATTTCCTTTGCGCAATAGTAATCAATAATAATATGATGATTGCTTTACATAATAAGCATATATGTATAGTTAAGCAAATATAAGACAGATAATTTCTCAATCCATGAATTAATCATAATGAAGAGCTTTTATAGATATTATATTCATAAAATTCAGAAAACAACGTTTTTTGTGGGATATATTAAAACTGTAAATTATCAATAATATAAGAGAATATAAAGGAATAAATTTGTGAAGTCATTTAATTAGACTATAATGTAATCATTGATTACATTAATAACTAATTAATATCACTAATTAATATCAATTAATACTATTTCGGATTATTACACGAATTAATAGAAATAGATGATTGCGATAAGAAATCACTCGAATTGATAAGCATTATCATATAAACATTATTGTTTTGTAAAAATCTATGATGATAATAAATTTCCAACTTTATATTACGCGAATTAAATTTTTAAAAAATTAAATGAAATCATTCGTTAAGTAGAAATTTTTATCATATTAAAGCTAATCAATTTTTTATTTAAAATTAAATATTTTTCGATTTAATATTTTGGTATAAAAAATATAGTATGCTATTTAAAATAATTAAAATTAACATTATTAATTAAAATTAAAATTTCATAACTTAAAATTTCATAAATATCTTTTTTAAATTATATGATTCTCATATATAAATTTTTTATATAATATATAATTTAGAAATTATTCGAAGTATCATCCTATATTTATTTACGATTAAAATATAATTATTATATATATATATTATTATCAATACAATACAAGTATATTTGTATTTACATAGATCTTTATATTTTTTTATATTATCATGATTTTAATCGCATTAAATTTCTGCTAAGGAAATTATATATTATTAGAATTCGAGTTAGATTTATTCAATGTGACCTATTTATGTACAAATATATTGGGAAACCACTTCAATAAATAAATCTATATATGAAAACAATGAAAAAAATGTTCATATTCTGAATGTCTGATACCGAATTTTGTTTGTAAATAGTGAAATTAGTTCAATTATTTTTATCTAATCTAATAAAATTATCTCAACATTCGAAAATATTTAATATTTTCTTCACTATAACTCGAAAACAAAATCAAATATTTATATAAACTTTTTTTACTGCTTTTATATGTAGATTTTTCTATTGAAACGATTTCCTAATATAATGGAATATTCTATATATTAAATCATAAATAATCGTACAAATATATTATTAATGATTAAAATAAATTTCAACTATTAAAATGTAATGGAATTCTACGAATAAAAAAAAAATATAATATATCAATATTAATTTAACTATAAAAAATGCAAAAGATAATGTAATTATTCAAAAATATTTTTCTTAATACAATATCCATAATATTGGATATTAATAAATAGACAAACAATTATATAAATATATTAGGAACAAAAATATTAAACATAATCAATTGCTGCAATAACAATGATCTTATATAGTTTCTCAGTATATCTCATTGTATTGTTAAAATTTGATTAATATAAAAAAAAAAAATTCCTATGATAATTATTTCAAATTAATAACTTCAATTCGTAATATTAATAATCATTTTAATAATTTTTAAGATATTCATTATTTAGAATAGTAGAACAAAATTATTATAATATTTTTGAGAAAAATCAATCATTCAGAATTTATAGATATGGCATCTATAAATACAAATAATTATTAATTTGATCGATATGATATAAATTATTGATTATTTAACTTTGACTTATATTATTTCCTCTGATATATAATGTAACATTAATGATATTATAAAGTTAAAATACTTTATAACTTTGTTCAAAAACATTTATCTAGAATTGTAATGTATAATTTTGATATTTTTTAAAATATTAAATACTTGTGCTAATATTTTTTTAAGTGGAAATAAATAATATAAATAATTATAATACTATTAGCACACATATGATATTTATTTTAGAGATTTAATAAAAATTTACCAATAGTAGTTTCACAAAACATTTCGTTTGCTACTTCAGAAGCTAAATTTGCTCCCATTAAAACTGAAACAGGAATATGAAGTTGTTTTGAAATTATATGTGAAATAAGTTCAATACCACCTCCTTGCTTTTTATCAAAGCCCTGAAAAATAATAATAAATAAATATAACAAATTTGTTTCATATTACCATAATTTATATTTGAAATATTTATATATGAAATATAATTATTTGTGTCATAATTGATATATAAATCTTATGAATATAAATTTATTTTTTAATAAATTAATAAAAGATAAATCTATTTCAATGTCAAATGTTATTTTTATTGTTTATATAGTTTAAATTATATATTACCCAATTTCTTATAGTTAAAAGAATTTTATACATAAAAATATAAAATTTATGATGTATATATTATAGTATAAATGATTTATATTAAACTTTTAAAAAAAGTTATAATTCTCTTTTTCTAAATAAAACTATATATAAATTATAAAACTACATATAACAAAATATATATATTTATTTTAATTTTTAAATAAATCAAAGGTTAAAATAAAATCATACCTTTATAAGAGAAAGGCCAACAGCTGTAGGCTTTATTTTTCCTAATAATACACTACATATTCTTCTTATAAATTGATGAGGTATTACAAAAGTTAAAATATCTGCATCTTTAGCAGCTTCTACTACATCAGGAATTGCAATCTAGAACATTAAAATTAAATATATATATTACTTATATATATAAATAATATGCAAATTATTAATTATGTATTGTTATATATATAATATTTATTTATTATTACATTTAATTATAATTAATATTTATACATGCACATAAAAATTATATTTTTTAAAAAAATTAATAATGAACGATATTATTATATCTAAAATATTTTATATAAGTGCTTATTTCTTTTAATTTCCTATATTTTATTAATCTCTTCTATTTATAATATGTTTAAATTTTTATTTTTATTTAATTTATATCAATGTATAATTTTTAATATATTAAATGCAAAATAAATTTATTGAATATTCTAAAGAGATCACAAAAAATCTAACTCGACATGAAGAAATAATTTAACATGGACAAAAATAAAAATAATATGAAACAATGAAATATGACATTAAATAATAATTTTTTAACCTATTCTATTACATTAAGACTGAATAATCTGGTTAATCATAAACTAAAATTAATTATTTTAAAATGAAATAGGAATATTTCATAAATTATAACATTCATTTGTTATATTAATATAAAAAAATAGATATCATTTTAGATATGTTGCATCATTTTATTTGTACTTAAAAAAAAATACATAGATATAGCACAGAGCAGCACGTGCGCGCGCGCGCGCACACGCACCACACACACGCACACAGATATTGTTTGAATCATAATATGTAGCATCACTTAACTTCATGCAGTCAAGGTTTTTCTATACAAAGCCATTGAATCTAAAAGTTACGAATCAATCTCTCTCTCTCTCTCTCTCTTTCTCTTTCTATATATATATATAAAATATGAGATAATTGAATATCTTCGATATGTATTTCAGAAGTTGGATAAAAAATATAAATTCTATTTATTAAATCATAATTTATCATTTATCATAATTTATTATAAAATAAAATTAGAATGAAGTTAAAAATTTTCTAAATTAAAAATAAAAGATTATTTTAAATACTCCAATTTAATATAAAATAATTTATTTAAATTTTATAGAATTATTAAAAATAATTAATAAAACTTTTTTAATAAATAAATAACTAATTAATTTATTTGTAAATTAAATAATATAATTTATTATAAATTGATAATTAATTGATGAGTATTAATTTTTTTTTTATATAAAAAGTTGAACATATAAGATACATATATAAATTTGTATATTACAAGTTACTAAGATTACATAAATTTAATTTGTTTTTAAAATAATACATTCAATAGTAAGAATAATAAATAATAAAATTATATAAATATAAGTTATATGTTTTATTATATGTTTAAATTATATGTTTTAGACGTATTCATGTGGAATAAATAAATTTATTATATTTAACAAAATATTATTTTTGAAAATTTTATATTATTTATGTTACGAAATTTATATATATAGAAAGAAAGAGAAAGAAAAAGAAACTTAAAATTTGATATTAATTTTTTTATATATACACTTATAATTTATTAAGTAGCTAAATATAATATCATTTAATAATTAAATTTAATTCTTATTATTTAATTTTAATTTTAATTTTAATTAAATTAAATTTAATGTCTTATTATTTCACATAATATTTATAATATTCGAAAATATGATAATAGAAAAATTATAAGTATTTTTGAATATACACATATATACTCGACATAAATATAATAAATGGTAAGATATATGTACTATTATTATTAATTTGATTTTATCATAAAAAATTTTTTTATTTTGAGAAAACATAATATATACAATATACATATATATACTTACTACATTGGGCGGAAGCTTATGTCCTGGAAGATACTTTACATTTTCATGTGTCTCATTAATAATTTCTGTTAGTTTTTTTCCGTTGATTATTTCTTCATAAACATACATTGTAACGCGATCCTCGAAGTTATTAAAATTAACAGCATTTATTCCAATTATCTTAGCGATAGTCGAACCCCTAAAAATTATAGGAAAATAAAATTATATAATATTTCTATATAATATATTCCTACATATGTCTATATATAATTATATATAATTTTCTCAATGAAATATTTTTCAAATTATTTCTATCAATATTTTTCTACTTTATATCGAGTGTATTAAATATAAATGCATTATTATTAATTTATTAAATAATAAACAAAATTATATTAAATATTCATTTCTTCAGAATTTTATTATATGAAATCCAAACTAAAATTATATAAATAATATATTTTATTTAACATTATGCTATTTCTCTTATTAATAATATTATTTAATTATTAATTTAGATATTTATTTCTATAATATTTCATATTTTTTCATATTTTTGTAATATAATATAATGATCTATTTAAAAATATTTTAAATTAATATTTATACATTAATATCAAAATAATTTCATTGCATATGAATATTTTTCAAATATGAATAATATGATCGAATTAAAATCTTTCGAATTTCATATTTTAATTTTTACAAGATAATAATTATTTCTATTATATATTTATTAATAAAATGTATATGTATATAAATATATATATATATATATATATATATATATATATATATCAATATCAAAAATGGAATAGATTTAATTAATAATTATATTCCAATAAATCTTTGTATAAAATACGTTGAAATTAATTATTATAATAGAAAACATTTAAATGCGTCTAACTAAATCAATGATAATATTTCACTACTAGAGATATTAATATTATTACAATTTAAAGAAAACTTACCAATTTCCTGATCCAACAATACAAATACGTAGTTTTTCTGCCATAATTTGATTTATATTAGTATAATAACAAAATTATAAAAGAATAAAATGAAAATGATTGCAAAACAACGAACAATAACCACACACTGTCAAAGCAGGAGGACGACTGGACAACTTCGAACGTAAAAGACTTGCGTTATTTTATATAGAAGTGGGAGTATGGAAACATCAATGATAGGCATCTAGTTATTGTTGTAAGCAAAAGTATAATGATCGACCAATGAAAATCGAACATGATAAAAAAAAAATATTAGTCTTTGAATTTTACCTTCTTATTATTGTAAACAAAAGTATAATCGACGAATGAATATCAAATATAATAAAAACATATTTTTGTCTTCGAATTTTTACTTTATGGAGATTACGTAATTAGATAAGAACAATTTTATTTATTAAGATACAAAGAAATATTCATAATATGAAATAATACGTTAATAAAAATAAAAAAATATTTTTATACACATAAGATAAAGATAATAGATATTATTTATTTTTTTTCTTATTTAAACTTTTTATCTATTCTTACTATAATAAAATAATAATAATTTGTTTTTTGATATTGCTACTGAAATGAATATTAGTATATATAGATTTTACAGAAAATATATTTAACGCGGAATATTATCTAATGTTTCAGATATTAAAAATTTTAAAAAAAAAAATGAAGTAAATATTTACTTCTATAAAAATATCTATTTAATGTAACTATTTATCAATATAAATGCTTTAAATACAAATTAATTTCTTTCTTTAAATTTTTAAAAATATTTAATATTATTTTTTAAGATTATTTAATTAATCAACAATTTTGACATAAAATCATTATATATTATATATTTATCATTATATATTATATAATCATTATATATTTTTATTTAATATTATATATTTTAATTTATATATTTTTATTTATTAAAATCATTATATATTTTTTATTATTATAGATCTGATATAATTTTTCAATGCTATTTTATAAATATTACAAATAATAAAAGTAATTGTTTACAAAAATAACAATAATTATTAAAAATAACAATAATTATTTAATAAAAATTATTTAATTAATAAAAATTATTTAATAAAAATAACAACATAGTTGAATTAATGTTGTGTAGACTGATTGTTTTTGCTTTAAAATGATACATTACATAATAAATAATTTTAATAAAAAATTTGAATTTATTTGGAATAAAATTTGATTAGATTTAGAGATATCTCCTTTACAATAATACTTAGATATATACTTATTTACAAATCTTCGAATTTATTTAATTTAAAAATATCAGGTATACTTTTAAATATTGTTTTAGATTTTTTTGAAGTATTCATGAAAAATTTAAAATGATATTATATTCAACTTGCAATATACTTGAATCTATCAGGTTATCAATATTTTTATCAATTTGTGGTAGACAAATAAATAAATTTTATATAAATAATGATTTATGATATATATATATATATATATAAGAAAACTCATTTCAATAAATTAATACAAGTTATATTATTTATTTGTTTATTACGTAATGGATAGGAATGTAATAATAAAATGATATAAGTTAACATTTATAACATGTATATATATATATAATTATAACTAAATACATGTCATGCACATACAGTTGTTTTTACTACATATTTCAGATCCACTTATAGTTTACAATTTTTATTTTTTTTTGCGAATTCCCCATAAGCATTTTGAATAATCAAATTTTATTTAAAAATTATACTATTTAAAATATTTTTATAATAAATATATTGAATAAATTTTTAAATATAATTATAAAATGAAAATATATTTTTTATTTTTTGAATTATAATTATTTTTGTTTTGTAAATAAAAATGAAAATTAATTTATTTGAACATAGTATTAATTTATGATTAGTAAAAAACAATTAATATTATAATATTATTATTAATATTATAACAATATTATTAATTTTATGTATTTTATACTTATGGAGAACAAGAATTTCACTGATAATAAATGGAACGTCGTATTATAAATCAATACTTTAATCTTCTGCAGTGGATTGTGCTGCATCTAAAATAATTTCAAATGAAAATGGTTGGAAACCATATCCTAGTCCAGAATAAAATTTGCTTTGAAATTCGACCCTATGAAAAAAAAATTCAATTTTATAATAGTATATATTATTAAAAATGATTTATTTGATATTTTATTTTATTAAAATATATTCTAAAAGATTTCTTAAAGAAAAATTTTTTAAAATATAAAAAGATTAATTATTTACAAAAAAAAAAATAAATAAAAATAAAATACTATTAATTAGAAAAAATTATAATTTTTTTACATTAAATTTAATTTATTTTTTTAAATTGAATTTTAATATATATAATATTTAATATATTTATAAAATTGTTTAAAGCAAAATAATTTTTCAACATACCAATGAAGTCTAAGTGTATGTAAGAAAGCTGATAAACCTTCCATAAGAACTAGAATACCAACTGTTAAAACAGCCCAAAATGCAAACACAGCCCATAGAATAATACCACCTGCCCAGCCTTCTTGAGTTAATCCATTTCTCATAACCATATTCCATAATACTTCTGATAATTCTAATATAATTAATAATATCCAATAAAATATATTTATTATAATTTATATATAATTTGTATTATGTATAATTATAAATTATATAATTAATATTATATATGTAATTACATAAAATATTAATAATTATATAATTATATAAACATATTATTTTTAAACTTACGAGCATGGGCCAGAGATAAGGCCCATAAACGCAGATAAGATGCAGTATGAGATACACTGCCAAGAACATATTCAATAGTATGTATGCCCTGATGAATAAATACTTCAGCCATATCTTCCTCTTCTTCTTTGTGACCTCCTCCTTGAGGAACTCCATTTGGTGGTTGTATTGCATCAACAGCACCTTCTACATCTCCATTTTCTGTACCATGATTGTTTAACTAATGTAACAAAAAAAAAAAAAAAAAAGAACATTCAAGATTGTAATATTATTAATTCTTAATTTTCAAAATATACAAAAGTATTTTAAAATAGGAGAACATATAAAAGAACAAAAGATATTTTCAATATTTTAAACTATCAAATTGTGAAATATAATACGAAATTAAATCTAATATTTCCAAATTTTTAAATAAACAAATAAATATTTGTTAATAGAATTAATATTAATAATTATTCTTTTTCAGCAAATTCTATATATATGATATATATTTTTTTCTTTCAATTCATATCATATAAAAATTAACAATAATTTATTTTCTAAAATAATTTGCTATATCTAATTATGATAATTGAAGATTTATGTATGAATTATATATACATTTACGCAATGAATCAGATAAACTATTACAAACAGTTTTCTCTGAAATCAATTTTTTCTAGATATCAATTTGTGTATTAATTATAGAATTCTACTTAATAATAATAATAATAATAATAATAATAATAAGAATTAATATAAAATATATAAAAATATATAAAAATTTTTGAAAATATATAATTTATAAAAATAGATAATTCTATTTAATAATATTTTTGCATGTTTCTAATAATTTTAAATAAATTAGTTACCAAACTATAAATGCATTTCTCTATATAAATTATAATTTCGATTCATATTTTTATAAATATATCATATATATATATATATATATATATCATATATATATAAAAAAATTAATTAAAAAAATATATTTATATTGAATTTAAAATTTAACCTGATAATGTTGCTTTTTTCTATTGTTCATTAGCATAATAGGTTTTGCCAATAACATCCAAGGAATGCAAAGAACAGCAATAACTACTAGAAATGATTGGAATCCACTTTGTCCACCATACATCCAAGGTGAACAAGGTTTTGGCGCAGTTCCAGGTTTAAATAATACCATATTAATAAATGTAATTAATACTGATGGTGCACAAGAAGGACCATGTTCTGGATCTATTTCTACAAATAATATTATAAATGTTATTTTATTATAATATATATATCCTTTTTTTCTAAAAATTAAAATAAATGCCATATATTATATTATATTATAATAATAATTATTATTACTACATATTAATAATAATTAGTATTACATATAACATATTTTTGCATTAAATATAATAACTACTTACTATCGCTATCAGGGCCATATTTTATCCATTTAATAAACATAAGTAGTACCATATAAAGGAAAAGAAATACTAGAAAAATAATTTGAGGAATGAATTCACAAGTTATGTTAAGTTTTCTTTTGAAATACATATGATTCCATAATCCAATTACCACACCAAACAACATGTGTATGACTCCAAAAATTATAGATATTTTCATCTTATATGAGTTTAAAAAAATGATTTTATTTTCTGCTAATTGCCACACAGGATCCATTCCAATAGGATATGGAATTTGTAAATATTGTTCTTTATCACTAGGATTTAATTGCAACTCCTTATTTGAGTCTATTGTAGAGAAATTATAATTGATTCTCCAATATGATCCAAAAATATTTAACGATTTGGAAAATATATCGTTATATATAAGTCCAGTATACATTGAAAATAAACCCATTAGAAAAATAATATATCGACCACCAAAGAAGATATTCCAAATTTCGTTATCAGATTTTTTTGCAGCTAATGGTTTTTCTTTTAATACCATCCATCCACCAAAAAGAAACATAAGAAGGCCATGACCAGTATCTCCAAACATAACCGCAAATAAAAATGGAAATGTTATTATAGTATAAGGAGATGGATTCATTTCTCTGTAGGAAGCAACTCCATATGCATCTATTAAAGCTTGAAAACCTTTAGTAAATTTATTGGTCCGATTATAAGTAGGTGGATCTTCAAAAGTTACCATACGATTTAAAATTGGTGGCACAGAGCTCCCACTACGTTCCTAAAATATACATAACTTTGAAATTTTTAACTAAAAACAATTAAATAAAAATTATTAAAATGTACAAATAATTACAGTTCCACGACGTAATGCTAATTGTATTATTTCAATGTCTAATACAGGAACCCAACATTCAGCAATTAAACATTTTTGCGTAACATCCAAATTAAATAAATTTAAAGTATGATAAATTGCTTTAATT